TATATAATGATGAAAATCAAATCTTGATTTAAAAAAAAAAAAAAAGAAAAATGGAATTTAAGTTTGATGTGTCAAATGTAACTGACACTAGCAAAGTTAGTGTGGACAAAACATTCACTACACAGACAAGATATGATTCTTGGAATAAATTCCAAAAATTGCTTAGATAATGGGAATTTGATATCGTGTAAAATAGGTATGAATGTTAAGCTAATTATTAATTGCAAATTAAATAAAAATATCAGGTCGGTTTATATCAGAACCAGGTATATAAGCTAAAAGAATAAAATTTTTTTTAGCTACACTTAGCAGGTAACAGAAGTAAACAATATGGTCAACAAAAAATAAAAAAGCAATATAAGTCTATCACAAAGCAACAAAAATATCAGCGCAACCATGTTAAAAAGAAAAAAAAAAAAAACCTCTCAATATGACAGAAGGAACTATGTCATTCATATAAATGAAATATTTCTACCAAAGCAATCATGAATTAGCTATGTGAAGCAGTGATTTATGATGACGAAAATATGATGTAATTGAAAATGAGAAAGTTCTTGCAAGAAAATGAAAATAAATGGAAAAATTAATTTCGATCGAAAATTTTGCGAATTTGTAAATAGACCCAATTAGAGTTTAACGAAGAAATTGGGGAAAAAAAGAAACAATTTTCTTTAATATTAAATAAAATATAAAAAATAAAGCAAAATAAAGCAGAAAAAAAAAAAAAAAAAGGATATTTTTTACAGAAGGATAATTTTGTCATCCCAATAATCATTGTCATATTGGACCTATTTATTTATTTATCTATATATGTTATAGATATAATATCTATATATATAGATATTATAATAAGCGGAAATGATGAAGATTGTTGTTCACTCAGTATAAAAATATTTTATTATACACTTGAATGAATACAACAAATTTTTATTTCCTAAAGTGTTGTAATTTCATTTCTCATAAAACATTTGACATAGCCAATGGTAGTAGGTATATTATTATCATAATGTGGAAGAAGTAGCAATGATTAAAGTATGGTTGAAGTATTCTTGAGGAGAAGAATCCACGAAAAATAGATAAGATTACTGGCACATTATTGGATAGCATGAACTAGGCAGTTTCATTCATCTTTTCAATAGATATATTTTCCTATACCATTCAGTTAAATAAACAAAACGAACGATTTGAAAGCCATAAATATATATTATTAGATGGCATTTTCATCAATAGTCAATTATAGCTAAGTGATAAAGTAAAAAATTCAGTGGAAATGATTTTTTCTACCCATTTATTTTTTTATCCTAGTACTTTTTTTAATATCAAAAGTTGCTAAAAATTTTTTTAAATTAATAATTTTTTTCGCAAAAAATTAATAGTTACTAGCTATTAATGACTAATTACATCTTAAAATAAAATGGAATTTCGATTAATATTTATATGTCAGTTTACGTCATCAACTAATACCATGCAAAATATACAAAGTGATAGACCGCGGTAATGAATAAAAGCAAGAGCAAAAAAAAAAAAAATACATTCAATAATTATATAACAAATATGCCTATGTAAATTAAATTGCTATATTTGAGGTTCTTGAATAAAAAAGAATTTATGGCCATTAATACAAATGACATTCTGATCACAATTCATAATATACTACTACTAACTACTACTGTTACTAGCAATAATAGTAATAACAGTGACAGCAATGACAGTAATTATAGTAATTATGATAGTCATAATAACAATAATAGTAAATAATAACAAATACTAACAACGATAATAATTGATGAAAATAATAAGAGGAATGTGCAGTTATCATTTATCAACCATTCAATACATTTGTTTGTAATGAATGTAGTGGAAACTGATTAAATACGGACATCAAAGAAGCAATTTTTAAGTTTGTGTCATCAACTGCTTCGAACAGTAGTAGTAGTAGCATAGAGGGCTTATTGATTGCCTTGCAAAAAAAAGGCAAGCTTCTCTTTCCACTATGCGTTTTGCGCAGAATAAAAACAAAAAAAAAAAAAAAAAAAAAAAAGAAAAGAAAAGGAAAGAAGGAAATTAGGAAGGACGGGGGAGGGAAAAAAAAAGACAAAAAAGAGAAAGAAAACTGAAATGTTTGAAAATGAAAGATCGATCGGATTTGACAGCTATGAACGGCGGCAATAGACGATGAAATAAACAATGGAATGGTGAAGCTTAATGATGGGTAACGATGCTAATTATGCTATAATTATGATGGAAAAGCTCTTTGGATGATCGAATATAGCTGTAATATGATATAATGATAACAATTATTGAGATTCACTCATACATTCAATCTTACTGCATAATATCTCTGATAGACAGATAAGAATTAAAAGAGAAAAGCAAATGAAAAAAGCATACCTAATAAATCTGTCAAATTAAAAAATGGAAAATCAAACGCAATTATTTCGATGGTGAATTAAAAGAAATATTTGATCATGCCTTTTTTTTTAACTTACAAGAATATATACTGGAATTCAGAAACCAGTTTAAGATTATTTTTCATGATTGCCAAATAACTGATGGGATCATTTATAATTTATAACATAGCTATCTATGACTATAATTAATGATAGCATTATGATATATGTTTTATGATTACATTATGCACAAGTGCTATTGAAAAGAACATAACCATTTTGCAAAAAAAAAAAAAAAAAAATGATTTTTTTTTTTTTGTGAAAATTTTTTTTAAGATCATTTAAAAAAAACTTAAGTGCTCATAATTCAGTTCTATATTGCTTTGTGCAAAAAGGAAAAAAAAAAACAGATAAAGTGGTAGTCGATAAAAGTTTTGCTAGTAAATTTATTCTCTAATTTTCTTCTTGATATGATTGTATAGAAGAATTTAAGCATATTAGTAAATTTGAATCTATATGATGATTAATATAATATAAAATAAGGAACTATCAAAGATATCAATGGAAATAGTAATAAAACTATAAAGTTTTGTATTATACAACAAATAAGTGTGCACACAATTAATTCTGTTTTGAATTGCAATTTCGAGTGATGTATATGAATTATATATGAAATATAATTCTTTCTTTTCTTTTATTTTAATGATTTTGAAATAAAGTTCTAAAAAAGCTATTTGGAAGGAAATAAATCTTTGTTTGAATTTTCATATATTTAGGCCAATTTAAAAAAAAAAAAAAAAAAAAAAAGTAAACCTTATCCAAACTATTCAACTATTATATGCGTACTACTTTAATAAACAGAAAATAAGAAGAGAAAAGAAAGAAGCTAACTTTGAAGAAATTGATTTTAAATAGTTTTTATAATAATCTATATTAGAAATCATATCGAAAAGATGTATCAGGAAGGTTGACAGTAGAGTATAAGAATTTGATGGCAAATTATTGAATTTATTATTAAAAAAGGAAGCTTATTATAATCATATTCATTTTAATGATAATTTCAAAATATTATCAACAAATCTTTGTCTATGAAATTTCAAGCAGCAGATACTCAAACATATCCTTCTTTTATTGTAAGGCCTATAACTAACAGTTCCGTTCCCCATTTATCCTTTATAAGATTATAGTTCAGTTATTGCGACAGATACGCTTATATAAAAGCATACAGACATATATAATAAGTGGCAAAAACTAATTCTTAATAAAAAAAGTTCTATATGTTAAATCAATATACATATATGATTCAAAAATAACAGAAATTTTTCGACTTTAACAAAATCAATAAGGTATTACTGCTTATCACTTGCTTGCTAATGATAAGATAAAATTATTACTAATTCATAATTATAATATTGGAATTCTAAATAGCTATGTATATATGACTTATAAATTTATCGTTAAGTTCAAATAAATTAATAATTTGAAATATTTAATATATTACTATTAGTATCATACCATATTTTGGAAAAAAAAAATAATGTACAAATAAACTGATTGATAAATGATAAATAATAGAAAAAAATAGAGAGACAATAAAATGAGATATAAAAAAAAAAATTATAAAATATTAGAAATGAAAAGGATATAACTTGATGATTGCGAAAAAGTTTGCAAATACTATGTAAGGAAAGGAAAGTGTAACGTTTCCATAGTTTCATTTTGTATCATTAACAGCAATATTTGCTCGCTTCATTGCATTACATGCATAAGATCGTTCTTATCCATAAATTTATTACTAATTCTTAATTATAATATTGGAATTTTAAATAGCTATGTATATATGATTTATAAATTTATCGTTAAGTTCAAATAAATTAATAAATTGAAATATTTAATATATTACTATTAGAGTACCAAAATATCTTTTATTCTTCTTTTTTCTCCTTAGAATATTATGAACTTTATTACTAACATATAAAATACTCATAGTTATAAATCTCCCAGTAATTCGAAATTATTCCTTAAACCATAATTAGCCACCCATTCTACATCAACTCTTTCTTTCTTTCCCTCTCTCTTCCCTTTTTTAATTTTAAAGAAAATAATTTACAAACCTGTGAATTAAAAAATGAAACAGTTCGTTGCTGATCGCTTATTTCATTGTTTGAAGCAGTATCCTTAATAACAGTTTGCTTTTTCCGTAAAGCTAAGCGACATCGATTTATTTCTCTTAGAGTAGCAGCATAATCATGCTAGAAGTAAAATAAATATATCAGTACAAATAAAAAAAAAAATGGAAAACTTCATATTCTTAAAAAAAAAAAATAATTTGACTTCAAAAATAAATGGTAAAAGGTCATCTAAGAAGTGATAAAATTTGAAGGTTTTATATAGTTATAACGAGAGTAAGATAACATGAAGATTTCTGGGATTAATTTTAAATTTGTATTTGAAATTCTGGAGAATAAATTTAAAACTGGTTCCAAAAAAAAGTGCAAAATAACATCGAGGCTTAAAATGAAAAAAGCTTATTGCTACAGGACATTATTGATGATGGCAAATGAAAAATAATGAAATGAAGAAAATTGTTATAATTTTGCCAAAAAATGTTTAACATACTTTCTCATTTAAAGGATTTTGATTTTGTGCAGATATATTTACATGGATTTCATGTAATCCAGCTGATTTTAAAAGTAATTCCCTTGGTTTAGTACATTTATTGAACGAATAAGATGAATCAGAATGGTATATAAAGTCGGAATTTGATTCGAAATTGCGGCTTTTTGATTTTAGCCCGATTATAGATGATGAAAAGAGTGATGGTAAGAGATGAGTTCGAGTACATTCAGGATGTTTAAATGCGGAAATCCGGTGACTTTCTTTATTCTGTACAGTATTCTTCAGATTTCGACGAAATGACTCATTATAAATAGAAGGCGAAAATTTAACTTTTTGACCGTATCGTACTTCTTCCACACAATTTTCACCATTTGCCGAAGAATGTTTCCTGATTTGCCATTGTTCTGCTGTTTTACGACGTGAATCACGAAGTTGTGTTGGTCCTCGCACAAAAACACAGGAACTAATATCACCAGTTTCACGTTGTTCGTTATTTTGATTCGTCGTGAAAGATGGACCAGTCGAAGTATATTCTTCACTAATTGTACGGCATTCTTGACGCATGTATTGTTGTTTATTAAGACTTCTATTCTCTGTACTTTTTAGTTGCGTCCGTTGAGTTTGACGTGAACAGCGTATTGATGAATATGTCCTACGAGCAAGTTCATTTCGAAACGGTACTGAATCATCATCATACGTCTTGTTGCATATCATAATGTTAAAATAGTTTTCGAAGTTATCCTTATCAGGTACTGAAAACATTATGACATCTTTATCAAGCAGATGACGACAAGTTCACTGCGTTAGTTATATCACTTTACGGCGTAATGTAGCTGCATAAACAGTGTTCAAACGTTAGATGTGACATAGTAAGGTGTTAATCTCAGGTAATTGTTATTTCTGGTATTAACGTACACACTGTAAAATTGAAAAGTTATTTATCCCTCGAATAAAACCACTTGATTTTGCATTATACGGTAGAATTCCCTTTATATTTCGGTTTCCATTTACATATATTATACAGGAATTCGGAGAATCTCATTTATGTAAACGTTTGCTAAGCATATGAAAAATAATACCGATGAGAAAGTAATAAAATATCTTACGTACGTTTGTTTTTACATTTCAAAAATATGTTAAAAGCAAAATCCTTTTAGCATATCATATGGCAATTAAAAAGGTGTATAAGGCTTTAGCTAATTATAGGTGCATAATGATGATTACGCTTAAACTGTATTGGAAAAATATAATATAATCCTAGTGCGTGAACATTAAATCATATGTTAAGGATTAAAAAAATTTCATGAAATGTTCCAATTTTAGCACATTTTAATAATTCCCAAATTTATTCTGATGAAATTTCAACGAAGGAATTTTCTTTTTTTTTTTTTTTTTCTGTTACATGAAATTATTGAATAAAATGAGAGGAAACAATTGAAAATTATCAAAAATGCAAAAGCTAATTTATGTAAAATGTTAATAAAATAATTGGATTAAATAATCAAATTTAAAATGATAATATTCATTAAAAAAAAAAGAGATAAAACTAATAGTTACATAGGATATTTCATCTAAAAAATTATCAATTGGTTACATATAAAATATTCTATTTTTAAATAAAACTATTAACGCTTATTTAAATAAATTTTATAAAATAAACTATTCGCTGCTGTGTGTAAAATGAAAAGAAGAAATCCAAAATTGACAATAAAAAGAAAGCGATCATTCATTTCGCATTGCATTCGTATTCGATCGGTTCTGTACCGTTCCTCATTTCCTTTCTTCTCCATCCGTGTTGATCCGTGCTGTTTGTTCTTCGTCGTCGTATCGATGGTTCCTATCGGATCAATCATTTCTAATACTCCAAACCGAGGACATTTTCTTCATTGGCGGGATTTGTTATTTTAAATGAAAAATTGTTCATTGTCACATTTGAGTGCAATGCAAATTTTCATCCTATTTTTTTTTTTTTTTCATAGTTCACATATCGAACGTAATCATATACGTACGTACGTATGCGTAATCATATACGTACGTACGTATGTACGTACGTTAACATACAGTTAGAGATATTAGAACTGTTTTATTATATTCATTTATTGTTTTTGCAAATTTCTTCTCTTCATACATTGTTACATTTCAAAACTGATTGTAGTTTTAACTTCATTTCTTCTTTTGATCCATCCATTCATTAATTGAGATTTGGATTCTTGTATGATTATCGATTCCTTTATTTATTAGTTGGTAAATTAGATTCTTCATTTGATTACTTATAATTAGGTTAAATGTTGTGAGACTAAATAGTGATCATTAATGTTGTAAATATTGCGAATTTCAATTTACGGTATAGTCGAAGTCAAACGTATGATTAGATATACTCAAATGTTTGGTTAGAAATTATTCAAAGTCCAAACGTTATAAATTATAATGAATTGTCTCTTCCAAAAAAAAAAAAAAAAAAAAAATAAAGAAAAACGTGCATTATTATAGTAATATTTCGAAGTGCAAACAGTGCACAGTTTTATAATTTGACTTCACATCAAAATAGCATATGGTCAAGTTTGGCATGCGTAAGGAGAGAAAAACAGGTAACGTTGAATTTCAGGATACTTTCACTTAAGTCATAGCAATGACGATGATTTTTATGACATTGTTATATTTTAATCTTGAAGAAATAATAAAAATATTGAAAACTAACTCCTAGCGAATAGCTATAAATGGGTTGACGTTCGTCATCGGATAGTCCATCATTAGATATTGCCATCTTCTCTGAAATACTTAATCAATACTTAATACTCACAATACTTAATTCACTATCAATATATGGAAGTTTTTAGAATTTTTCAAACAAAAATCGCTGAGATTCAAAGATAATCTAGAACTCTGTAATCGAATTAAATTAATTTCTAATCAAATTCAGAAAGTTTACAAAAAAAAAAAGAAAAAAAAAACTAATTGTAAATTCATTTAAAAAGGAGAAACTTCTAGAATTAATTGATCAACTTTATCATTTAATCAGAAAGTCATATCGGTGATAACATAAGAAATAGTCTATTTGATACCATAAATGTTATTCTCATTGATGATAGCTATACATTGCTGATCTTAGCAAATCTTATGTTACCGCGTGCCATACTGATAATTCCGTAATCCTTTTCCAAATCTTCCTGTACTTTTCTGCAAAATTTTTAATTTCTCATGTAAAGCAAAAAAAAACAAAAAGAAGAAGCAAGAAAACAAAAAAAAAAAAATTGCTTTCATTTCTTATTTTCTTGTTTGTATGGCAATTAATTTTACCATATAGCTAGTTGGCTTTGCCTGGTTTACATTCCTTTCATTAAAAAAAAAAAAAAAAAGAAACTATAAATCAGAGTTTTAAAATCAGAAAATTGCTGATCGAAAAAATTTTAAATAGATTTGCCACCGACAAATCATTTTCATAATGTTCAGATTTACAGGAAGTATAAATTGATTTGCTGAAATGTTTGCTTTAAATAATGTCCAAGAAATAGTTCCATAAAAGTATTTAAAAATATGTGCAATTATTAAGAAATAAAATATAACCAGTAATTGTTTTCCAGAATATTTTAGAATCGATGAATATCACAATTGTGTGCTAAATTTCAACCTGCTGGATGCTTTTTTAAATTTAACCAAAATGCCAGATAAACGTAATTTACAATCATTCGTTCATCATTTTGTATATATTTCTTATTTGTTATAGTAACTGCACATTTAGTAGTTCGAATCAATTTTCAGGCTTATCTTTCAACTTATTTAACCTAATAACAAAAACTTAAAGTAATTTTAAAGCTATACTAACTTTGTTAAACTCATTTATCCCGATGACATAAATTTTATAATTTGCATAATTTATCATAAAACTTTGTTGTTCTTTGTTTTGTGGAATTTTTTGTAACCATTGAAATTATGGAAAAATTTTTAGATTTTAACAGTGACAAGATGCTTACTATACTCACTAATATTCTTTTTTATTTTTTTTTTTAACCTGTCTTTCATAAAAACTCTACATAGTTCCTCTAAATAAGGCTTACAGTGTGATTTCGATTAATCCACTCATCCGGATCATTAGCAAATATCAAAGTCAATATCTTTGTTATCTGCAAAAAGTAACATATACATTTCACTATACTGTGATAACATCTAACTCTTATCAGTGATCATAACAGGATGAAGAGATTATGTTTAATTTTAACAAAAGTTTCAATATGATTGGGAAACTAATGGGAAATTTAACCAAAAGCATTTTCATCTAGAATTGTCTATAATATCGTGTTGTATTTTATATTTGCTGTGAAATAAATGATAAATGCGTGAAGCATAAAATGATCAGCTCAAGAAGTTTATTTTTCAGGTGTATATTTCTTATTACATAATTGTTTGATAAAAATTTCTAAATGAAAAAAAAAAAGGAAAAAAAAAGGAAGAGAAAAAGAAATAAATGAATAATTGAAAAAAGAAGAAAAGAACGGATGAATAATTTAAAGCAAAGGACATTATGAAGTATTTTATTTTTATTTTCCAAAATAATAAGATTGATATGCTCGTTACTTTATATAAATAACAGCATTTCAAATTATCTGTACCATCAGAATTTCAATAAGCAGAAATCATTATTATTTATTAATTTGTACGTTAGATTTTATTAAATTTTATCAGTACTAAATGCAATTTAAAAAAATTTTTATTTAATAATATTATGAAATGCTAGTTTTCTTCTTTTGATCATAACATATATCTGATATGATGAATTATTGTCTAACAGATTACAACACGCAGAATTTTTTCTTCTCCCAAATTAAGTGAATATACATTTTTTTTTTTTTTTTTTAAACAAAATTAAGCAAAATTTTAAGCCATATGTAATGCAGAAGAGTTATACAAATTCATTGATAATACATTATTGTATGAATCGATACTAATTTGCTTCATCAGCTCAATAATTGTTTAGTTTTTGAAATTGAAATTGAATTTTGATACAAATCTTGAACTATATCACATGAGCAATAAAAAAAAAACACTGATAAGGATGCATATCACTGTTGTTATCATTTTTTCTATTCCATCATCTTTCATCTTTCATTGATATGCTCGAGCGAATCGTTGAATAAAATCTAAAATCATCTCAAAGATATCATGACCTTATTGATAAAAATGCTTTATTTAATAAAAAAAAAAGATAAATAATAAATTAATCATAATTTTTGAGTTTTTTTGTTCATCCAAAATTTACTCCAAAATATTATTGATTTTATGCCATAAAACTTTTCTTAATAAATAATTTCGTGCATTTATTGTAAAAAAAAAAAAAAAAAATTTCTTTCATTGAGATAAATAATTTATGGATTATCAGTTAGTATAAATGACGACAAAATACTAAATAATTACATTTGAAACCTTGCTAACTGTTGGAGTATCACAGATTCTATTTCCAACAAAGTTTGTAAAGCACTTTACTCAAATAATGATTAACCCATAACATTGCCTGAATGATATTTATTCACTTGAAGTGCTTGAAGAGCACTTAACTAACCTACATATTTGTTTGTTATGCTAAATTTTAGCTGCTAATTTTGTTCCAGTATTTTAGAGTTGAATTTTTATTGACAAAAACATAATTTTCGTAATTAATCCTTTTTAGATTCAAAACATTGCGATACTAAATATTTTCTTTAATTTCATTTCAATAATAA